GGGATCATGAAGGTTTTTCTCCATTCATGCAGAACTGCCTAAAAGAAACAGTAGCTTTTCCAATTAGGCAGTAAACAAATGGTAACTAATTGCAAGCATTTTCAGACATTGTTTTATCAGCCATATGTCTCTCTTGGCAAACTGGGAGGCCGGATGCAAGTTACAACACTGACGCATAAGACCGGAGTGTCCTTGGGCATTTGTGTTTACCACCACTGAGGTGCTTTTTAACCTCGCGTGTTTCCTATTGGTGTTCTGGGTATCAACAAAAACCTTTGAGTTTATTTAAAACCTTTTTTTAAAAGAAAAAAAACAAAGTGCTTTTCTTTATAGAGAATCATATGTTATAGAGATCATATGTAGGACACACCATAGATTAACTCTTACAGATTAACTCTCATTAACTCCCTTACAGATGTAATCAGCAGGATGGAAAATGCTGTTACAGGTAGGATTCTGTGAAGTGCTAAGCACCAGAAGCATAACTGGAATTTTTAAGTTTCAGCACAGAGACAAACGAGACCATGTATCTGGCTGGGTTTGGAGTATTCAGCACATTTCAGGTTTCAGCTCTCAGCTTTCAAGCATAATAATGAAGAAACTGGAGGAAAAGTAATACTTCAGCGAGCCACTGCTGCTGTACTCTAATTTTTGCTGTGCTCGGGATGCCCAGGAAGAGTATGGAGGTAACATTAAAGTTTGTAGCTTTACCCTACCTTGTCCAGGAAGGCAATTTACTTATTTATCTCCTGCCTGTCTAACATTCACAAGCACTTAATTAAACCTAAACTGCATGATGTCAAAATATTGCATGTTTTTATAATAAAACTCCTACCAGTTAAAAGAAAATGACCTCCCCCCCATTTAAACAGACTTACCACGTCTTATTCTAGCAGTTTTAGCGCAGGCTCGAGGCATGAACAGCCATAATCTTTGCATCAAAACAGCCTTATCCAGGTCCTTACCCTTTCATTGGCCAAGAGATTCAGTCTGCTCTTTTTCTTTCTTCTACATGAACCTTATCCCAAATGACTTTATTGCCTTTCCCTGCACTTGGTCCACAGCAGCTGCACCTTCTGTAATGCCAAGAGGTTGTGACAGGTATTTTGATGAGCTGCTCAGGATAGTGAAGGGTAAAATAAGGACCCTGCGTGTCCTTTCCTTACTCTCCCTTGGGGCTTGAGTAGACGTGATTAAGGAAATGGCTATTCACTATAGAAAATCATTCATACTTCATGATAAAAAATATCGTGTGGCTATATTATAGAAAGGATATAGAGTTAACAGTCCCATTATATACACACACACACACACACATATATATATATATATGTGTTTTTAAGGCCTGGCTGATTTTGTGTCCATGACTAACGTTCATTCTGCAGTCATGTGCATGCCGGGCTCAGTGAACCCTATCTCATGCTTGAAGGTGTAAGCTGATTGCTCTAAGCTTCAGGGAGGATTTTTATCCTCTGTGTGCAGGAACAGACAGTTTGCTCTGCACAGCTTCATTTATTTATTTCTTTAACTATTTATTTAGCCTCCGTCTGGTGCAGCTCAGGATGCATCGCTCTCAATTTGATAAACAATGCTCTGACCAAGCATAACAAATCCTGTGGCAACTGGATGTTAAATGAATGTTTAATTCACTTTGCAGTAATACAGAAATTACCTGGTAAACACTTGGCATATGGAAATGGAATTTTTAGTTTTGTTTTTTAGACTGCTAATAGCATTCAAATGTAGCTCCAGCTTTTAGGCAGCTTAAAATGTAAAGGAAACACAACAAACCAGTGCATCAAAAAAAAAAAAAAAAAGAAAAATCAGCAAAATAATTCTTGACTTCTTGGGTATTTTGGAAAAAAAAAACAGAGGGCAAAATAAGTCAATGAAAGATGAAGAGGTAAGTTATCCAATGCTGTTATCCAATTAGCATTAGACCTCATATGTAATTAAAACTCCAAAGGGAAGTAACAAAAAAAGAGGAAAGGATTCATAAGTGCATTGGAAATGTTCAGAAAAACTCCTTTTGGACAATGCATGTAGATCAGGAAGAAATCCCAGGATAACGCAGGAGAATAGTGCCTCAAAAGTGGTGTGAATACGAGTAAGAATAATCATAAAATCAGCTATATAATTATAGCTTATGATGATTGCAATGTTAAGTCCTCTGATGGGAGTTTTCACACAACCAGAACAAACTGCCAGGAAAAAATTCCAAACTTTTTTTTTTCTAAGTGCTTTTAGCCCTGCTAACAATATGAAGAGGTGTGTGTGTGCTATCAAGACGTCTGGCTGACAGCTCTTGTCCCTGTCCTTGACCCCTACTGCCATTTAATGTAAAAATGAGAATAACTTATAGGCTACTCTGCTGGTGAGCAACCATCCTCAGCTCAGGATGAAAGCTTTTCTGTGGCTCCTTCCTCCTCATTTTTATGAGCTTAGTAGCTAGATACCTCCGAAGCCTGCTAGTTTTTGTGTTTTATTTTGTCTTCAATAATTTGTTTTTTTTTTTTCAATTTTCCAAAGGTTTATGGTCACTTGAGAAAACTTATTAGTACTAGTTTTTTGTTTTTTTTTTTACGCATTTTATAAATTTTGGAAGTGTAAAAATCACAGAAAAAGAGAGACTAATCTTCCATAAAATTCATCCAAATGAGGGATTTCAATAAACTGTTCTACTGCCCATTTACGTATAAGACCAAAAACATCTGGTATGTAAACACATTGCTTTCCAACAGAAATAAACTGTGGCTTGAATCTTCCTTTACCTGCACATTTTTATAGTGCTGTCATTGTACTGACTTCACTTGAGACATTTTTGAGGCAGTTTTGACTTGTACCAACCACGAGGAAGCACATTTTCAAGTGCTCATATTTGCTGCATGCTCCAAATTAAAGCACAAGTCACTAATATAATATTCAAATACTTTATTGGAATTGTGGAGTCAAAGCATGAGATTTTTTTTCTCTGATTTATGAAGGACTTTAAAACTGATGAAAATCTGCTGCAATAATAAGTGAAAAGGCCTTGCCCCGTAGCCGGTCCCCGCGATGAACAGCACATTTCTTTTTGCACCTTGTTATTGAGGTTGCTGAGGCTTTCGTCGCTGTCAGTTTGTCGTGCCACGTATATTATCGCATGTGTCTTCAAAGCCTTGCACAAACAGGCTACGTGGTGATGCTGTCGTTTCGTCTGAGGACGGCTTTGGTGGCACTTGCTAAAGCGGAGAAGTGTTTCCAGTGCCCTACTTGAAGAAACAACTAGGTCCCAAAGGGAGGTCAGATCTGAGCCCGTCCAAGCCCACAGAGGGGTGCCAGCAAACCCTGCTCTGCTCACTTTTGTTATTGTTTTTTAATGGGGAGAATGCATTTGTCCTGTTTTGATTTGTTTGCATTTGTTTTACCTATTGCTCTTTTTCTGCTTCCTAGCTCCAAACAGGCATCCTATTTGGAGAACTGGTTGTCAGTCTCCGGTCAACAGCACTTGTACGTGGCCCAGGCAGGGCATGGTCAGGCGTGTTGCTCTTTCCCAGGTAAAAGAGTAAGGGAAAGTAGTAGTTTATACTGGCTACGGGGCTTGTTCTAAAAGTGGAAATTTGGAAGTCATTTCTGAACATGAATATTTCAAAACACAGAGATAAATGTAGAACAGGACCATGATGCCGAAGCTTACTTGCTTTCAGATACATTTAACTTGGTGCAAATGTGTGCTCTGAGCTAACTGTGTTAACGTGTTTCGGGGTTGGTGCATGCTTTTGAGAAAAGCACTTATGCTTTTCAGTTATCAGTTCTTATTTTTGAATTAAACCATTCGAACCATTGCTGCAAATGTCTTAGACTGTTAGCCACTTTCTTTGAAGTACTACTGTTTCCAGCACTTACTTAAACCTAATGATTTTTGTCTTCCCCATATTGGCTTCAATGTAGAGAGGCTTAAAAAAATACATTTGTGGTGGATGGGGGAGCTCCACTTGCCTTTCAGTATTTTGTTTTTGTCGTCGTGGTTAGTATTTTCAGGCTGACAGTAAGGGCGAGACAGTAGCTGAGGTTCTGGTGTGTTCATGTGATCTGAAGGTCTAAGGATTTTGACAAAATGTCAGGCATCACAGCCTTGTAATAGAAGTTCATGAATTGGCTTTTATTTTTCTCTGTAACCAAGCTCTGTGTTCCTTTCTGTACTTTGCAGCAGCATTAAATTGTACATCTTTTAAGGTGAGATATTTAATTAGCATGTTGGTTCAGTTAGTAACTGGAACTAATCTATTATTGTATTTGAATTCCTATTTTGGAAAGTTTGGAAATTGAATATTCAGATTCATTGGAAGAATTATTTTAATATTACAGAATAATGCATAATACCATGTACATGGTTAGCTGTAATCACCGGTGATGTCTAACCTAGACATCCTTATGAACATTTATGGTGCTGTCTCTTGCTGCTAACTTGGGAGGAAACAGTGTCTTGGAATCTCAAACCAATTTGTCTCCATAAATGCGATGTACTCTGATGGAAGATGGCCAAATCAAAACTATTTTAAAATTAAAATTTATGTTAATATGGAATATAAAATAAAACATTCATACAAATTTATTCCATTCCCCCAGTCATGCTGTAATGTTGCCCTCTCAATCAGTTTGGTCTGTCCCTACCTTGAGCTTGGCACCCTTTAGAGACTTCATTGCAAACCCAGACATGAAACAGCTGGGGGAAAAAACAGAAATCTTTGCAAGGGTTGTGTTTGCAAAATAAAAAATGATGCATCTATAAAACATCAGATGGAACAATATACATATATGCTGAAATCCAGTGCTTTCTGCTTTGGCTACATCAGGTATATGTTGAAGACAGTTCAGTGTGTAAAGCCAAAATAAATTTATCCTTGGCAGAGGGACCTTAGAGTTGACTAGAAGCACAAAATAAAAAACGCTACAGAGAAGGCAACACTGCTTTGCTTTTATTTACTAATTCTTACAAAAGATGTGAATGTATAGCAATGCTAAAGATTACCTCTTGCTAGAGCATTTTTTGACATGAGTCATTAAAAGACATAGCACGAAATTTTAAATGAAAAAGAGAAATTGAGGGGAAAATGACCTTTCTTCTCACATCCTTGTCTCCTCCAGTGGTCTGTTCATGAAATCTTGAATTGCCTGGTGTAGAGGTAACCATTTATTAATTGAAGCTTTCAAAGCTGTAATCCACCTAGAAGAAAGGAAAGACCAACAGCTGTCTGTGACTGAGTATTACATAATGCATTTTCCTTGCATTTGAAACATGTCTGTTACAAATGGTGTTTGTACAGTCCTGCTTCTGTGTGTGCTGATAGTGAGTGGATTGGGGAGAGGCATGAAATGAAGGAGTTGAGTATAACTGCAACATGTCTCAACACCAGTTTCCAAAACACTGAATAGCTTTGCCTTTTGCTCATTAAATTAAAACACAAATCCTATAATTAGTAGGCTTTCTATAAGCGAATTCCCACTGACAGCATTTAGAATTTGGCTGCATTATGATGATGGAATTCACCTTTAGAAAATGATTTCATAGACCAATTTTCTTTTTCGATTCCAGCGATCGTTATTGGAAGAAAATCACCCTTGGGGATGAGGAGGATGTACTTCTCATTCGTTAGAGCTTCTCTAGTGAAAGGTACCATAGTTGTTCCGTTTGGAGTGATCACCCACGCGCCACTGTGGAAGGACCCCCCATCAAGCTTCCTTTCTGCAATTCTCCTCTCTCTGCAATTGAGCCCCGCTGTAATTCCAACATCCACAATAACGGAGCTGATGACTCACATGTGCCAACATATTGTACTGCAGTGTGACTAAAGCTAGAAGGGAAATCTGGCGGGGAACAAGTGAAAACAGAATGAAAAGTTGTTGCTAGATCTTCCCAAACTAAAGCAGTGTTCCTGCTTTCCTGAATTCTTGGCAGAAGGAACAGAAAAAAAAATGTTCAGTTTACCTTTTGTTTTCATTCATATTCTCCGCACACAAGTAGAAGGTTTTAAACTCTTCTGATGGAGGTTTGAGTTCAATTACAGATCTCTTGGAGCCCAAAGCCTGTTCACTCACGATATAGCCCTGTAGATAAAGGCCACCTGGACAGAAAGAAAAGCTTACGCTGGGTCTCATGCACCGTTTATGAAATTACTGTCAACTACAAGCATCCTGACAATTCTTGCAGATTCTTTGGGTGTATCCCCTTTACACAATTCACATATAAAGTGAAACACTGAACAATATAAGAGCTTAGCTTTATCCCCCAAATTCGAAATAATATCAAAAATAATGTACAATTCAATTTTTATGGTGACTACGAAATTTCCTGATCAGGTGCGTTCTGTCTATAAATGAGCCAGTTTTCCCTTTTCCGCAGCTGCCAGGTTTGAGCTTCACCTGGAGCCCTGTGAGGTCAGCCGAATTCTTGCAGCCTTGCCCCTTGTCTTCCTTAGGCAAGGCCCAGGCTTTGGTGAAAAGCGGTGTAGAGGAGGTGAGCTTTTTCTTTGCTGCGCACTGAATTTCCCCTCTGGTAATGCTCGTGCTCCCATTTGTTCTGACTGTCAAGTTAATGGAACTTAAGAAACCATTCTGTTGCATGATGAAAACTCACTCCAGCTCACTCTGTTTTGGCAGTACTGGCTTGACAGATATAATGGGAATATGGAGCTATAAAAATACATTTTATGTCCCTAAAATCAGCAGGTGTTAATGCGACTACAGAAATAGGAAATCTGTTTAGTAAGAAAGTGACATTGTTGTATCACTATTTGAAGTATAGCTATACTTAAAGTTATGTTAAAGCAAAGCCATGATAAAAGTTAAGATTGAGAAAGAAAGTGGATGTGAATTTTCAGAGTGGCCTTGCTGTGTCCTACTTGTGCACAAAATTCCAGTCCTGACAACTTTCCAAGACTTTCCAAGATTCAGGGGGTTAATTTTAGTCAAATAAACCTTGAGGCTGCTTCAGGTAGACCCTGAAAGTTTCACTGAATGGTTGGCTACTTTAGACCACCATTTTATGCACATTAAAATAATAGATATCTAAGTCTGTCTTCTAATTCATCCAAAATAAAAGTGAAATATGAATTGGAGACTTAGATGAGAAGAATATTAGCACCATGGAGCGGGCTCCATATGCATTCCATATGGCAATTCAGCTTGTATGTGCAGTTCCAGCACGGCGACCATATAAAGCCTTCCCAATTTCCAGGCATTCACTCTGGGCAGCAAACAATCAACAATATAATTTTAATGATTTCTTTCCAGAAATAAGCTAGCTTGTCATATAATATTAAAAGGGGTAAAATATTTTTCTCTAGCTTTTATTTTCCTTGAAAAACTACAATGATGTAAATTAAAGCAAAAAACCTCGGGGCTAGTGCTGATCCTTCGAACCCCCTTAGGCTCGAAGCACCAGGAGCACCGCTGAGGGCCACACCAGCTAACTGGGAAGCAGAGGCATTACACAGACCTCGTTCTTGATGACATTTACGGAGAGCTGCAATAGCAAGAAAACACTGCAGTATGGAAGCATTTGTATGTTGTAGGTTGTTTAAACACTGAAGAGGCATATTTAGCATGGGCCGGAATGTCATAAATATATAATAGCTGATTTTTGCCTTTCCATTGATTCATTGCTTAACTTTGCACAAATCTTTGAGCCTCAGTTTCGGATGGGTAGGAAATCACTGATCATTTCATATGTATGGCCTTTTGTAGATGAAAAGTGCTATGTACATGTGAAAGACTACAAAACAGTAAGCCTCTTGCCTGATCATATGGAAAATGAATAAACCCTAATTTCCTCCTTTTGACCCGAAAGCTGGCTGGCAAGCAGTAAGTTAAACAGCATTTCCTTTTTGACTCTGCCAACTTCCTTAGGCCAGGAAAGGGGAAATTATAGGTCCTGACCAATCCCCTCTCCCTGAGACCCCTCTCCTTTTTGAAAAACAAAACCAAAAATAACCCCTCCATTTTTCTCAGAGCTATGCTTGTTCTAGGTTCTTCCCAGCATTTAGAACCTGTGCTCCTGTGCTGCAAGGTCACTGTGATTGACCCCACATAGCCTCACTTTGCTGTCCCCAAAGCCTGGCCCGATGCCCTCCGCGGTGCCTGGGGCGCCTGTCGCAGACCTGCTGCCAAGCGTGAGGGGCAGCCCTTGCGGCAGGGCCTCCAGCTGCACATGGTTGAGCCTGTCCTAGCACTGGGTGGAGCTTCTTGGCCAAGGCCACGTGGAAAGGGCCTAGCTGTGGTGGAACCAGCCCTCCTTAATGACATCCCTCCCTCCTCTGGTGAGGCAGGCAGCCGGTTGCCAGCAATGAGGTCCCTCTGTGGAAACAGCTGCCTGCTCATTTTTGAGGTTGAGTGCACGTGGTCCTGGTTACCTGTGTTGGGGAAAGAATTCAGGCAGTACAGGGTGCAGATAGGACCGTGGAGAACAGGTCAAGTTTGCACTCCCTACCCAGACCTTTACAGAATTGTTAGAGTGAATTTGCTGTTCAGGATTTCATGAATGCCTGAAACTGTATTTTGAAAGAGCGGTGAAGCCTTCCTGCTTCGCCAGGCGCTTGCAGTCCAGGACTCATCCATACCTTGGGCGGGTGTGGAGCGGAGGGTGGCGTAGAAGTACAAGCAGCCGTCCTTGAGGATGCAGTAGTGCTGAACCCACACGTCCCTGCTCCTGTCCAGCTGGTGTAGGAGCCCGAGGCACTCGGGGTTCTTGATAGCCAGGGGCGGCAGCGCTGTGTTATGCAGCGTGACGTCCACCCATACGTGGTTCTGTAAGGCAAGTGCACGATTAATCATTTCTGGGAGGAAAGTAAGGCGGGCCTGCTGTTAGGAAAAGACACAAACTCAAGGTCTCTGCTAGAGAATTAGCTTTTCTTGTCAGAGCAACTTGGAAAGTCAACAACTCTGAAAGTGCAGTTAAAAACATATGCTTTACAATGGCAAGTAGTGACTAGCTTCTTTATTCTTAAAATAATGGCCTGTCTTTTCTGCATCTAACTTAAACGTTCTGGCAGTAGATAAAATAATATTTCAAAGCTGTTCAAAAAATCAGGTAGAAATTAGAAGCAAATAGTTTTGCATGAGATTAAAGCATTTCTATTTCTTCTCCTCCTTTAAATCTAAAAGGCCTCTGCAACAAAACCTACTGTGTATTGTTTGTCTGAAATATACATACTATATATATACACACACACAATGTGTGTTTTGAACTCTGCATCAATTCTGCCATTTGAAGTCCATGGGGAGAATATGTGCAATCTCAATAGTGTCCCGGTTGTTTCCATCAGGGTTCTCCTTTGCATTTATTTATGCTATCTTTCTTCCACTTGACAAGTCAGTGATGGAGAAAAGACCTGAAAAAATATATAGCTAGCTGGATTCTTTGCTGTGAACAGGAAACCTGCTGGGATTTACTGCAGCAAAGTTCAGTAGATGACTTGAGTGGGTGAAGGTGTATTCATGCCCTGGTCGGTTTGCTGGGGCCATAGTTTTGGTATATTAGTCTGTTAAATCATTATGTTGTAAGCCTCCCCTTGCAGTACTCTAGTTATCCTAAAAATTCAGTAAGAAATTGTGTACTAAATAGGGATAAAAAAAGCTTTCTGTTGTTCAGCTGAAGTCTAGTTAAAAACAGGAGGAAGGAATTAGTTGGAAATAACGTTAATTAAGGATAGAAGTTAGATGATGAAAGCAAAATAGTAAAGCAAAATTTTCCTCAGGAAAAGGATGTTATTTCCTAAAAGATGGAGATGAAAAAGATAAAGCAGTTAAAAATAAGATTCAGTAGCAGGGAAAGGAGCCAACTTACTGTGCCTAAGGGTGTTTTATGTGTGTGAAGTCGGACCTTTTTACTTTACAGGTATTTTTTGCATGTTACCCAAAAGATTCTTTTTTTTTTTAATGTGTTCTTTCTTTTTGTGTGTGTGTGTTTTTCCTAGTTTTTGTCTCAGGTTATTTATTTATTTATTTTGGTTATTTTGGCTTGGGCATATGTAGTATTTTAAATGATTTATTCCTCTTATTTCAAATATCTGGATTCTTTCGTATACTTTTAAAATACTGCCAGGTCAGATAAACTTGGGCATAAATTATGTCTTTCCCTGATAATCTCATATGAAAACTGAAATTGAAGAAATGTATGCCCACGTGATTTTATTCCAGTGCAAACGGTAATAGAGAAACAACAAATATTTCCTTTCAGTGTCTGGAAAACTATCACTAAAGCAGCATACTGCTTGGAGGACTTATTCATGTGGCCTGAGTTGAGAGAAGAAGGAAAGTAAAATCTATGTATCCATTTTTCCCTCCTTCTGCATTAACATATGATATCCTTTGTAAATTGCAATTTTCTTATTTTTTTATTGATTTTCTTTTAGGTCAGTTTCTTTTTCTTTTTTTTTCTCCCTTTACTGATGGTATTACTCTGAGAAAAACATTAATACTTTTCTGTATTTGGGCCTCACATTCTTTCTGCTAAGAGACAAGCTGGATCAGTAGCTATTAAAAACCTGCCTTACTGATGAGCAGCCTATTTTTATAGAGATGGGTCTCTCTTTAGGAAAAAAGCATAGAAATTCTGGGGCACTTCACTGGGAAAGGGAGGGCTGAGGTAGCTTTAGCCCCTCTGCACGTAGGGGTTGCTCCTACCCACGGAGCCACCAGAACGAGCCCTGCAGCGTGGGGGAAGCTGGGCCTGGTTTGAGGCCACAGGGACCCTTAGGGAGCAGAGCTACGTGAGGCGCGGGGCGATGTGTGAGGGTCATTGGCTGCGGTATGTTTTTCCTCTCTAAAAATACCAAAAAGAACAACTCCAAGAAAAACACACCTTCTAATATTCTGCCAGAAGTGACAATGTATGGCCTCAAAAATCGGGTAGCTTGCACCCAAGGCAGACGTGCAGGGAATACTTAAGCAGATATAGCCTTTTACACCCTTAATTCCTGCTATTCGGCCTGGGTGGAATTCGGCATGGAGCACGTGCTGGTGAGTCCTCTCTCCACTGTGCCCAGCCCCCTTCCCACCCTGCCCCCGTCAGCACGGCTACCCCCGTTTTGAGTTATGTTTCTGAATCAGCCTCAAGCTGCTGATATCTAGACAGGGAACATTTTGATTCCTTCTACCATATGGCAGCCAAGCGCATCTGCCGCGGCGCTATAATGGGAGTTTATGGCTTTTAGGTTGGAGCCGATTTCGTGTCCCAGCAGCATCCTCGCCGCTGCCTGCGCCTCCGGGTGCCCAGGGTATATGTGTCTGCTGCACAGTCTCCTTTACACAGCCTGCTTCGAGTATAAATAAAGCATTACCTGGTGGACAGGATGCGCCGCTTTATCCATGGCCTCCAACCACCTATAAAACGACCAGAGATGAAAATGGTTTAGCTTGGTAGAACAGAATGTGTGTATTTCACTGCCTCTTTGAAATCTTGCTGATGTAGACAGCTTTTAAAGGGATGTGCAGTTTTCAGGACAGATTCAAGACTTCAGAATAGATAAGTAGTGGATTAATTCTAAACAAATGTTTCTAACTCTCAGAAAATACCTCTCATTCATAGCTTGGTGTATAAGATGTTATAGTAAATTAGGGCACTGTTGCAAGCAGGTGAATCTATAAATTTTAGCCTGACATGTTGCAATGTCTTCACATTATGTTTTTCTGGTGTCCTTGTTATGATGTAGATAAAGAATTTGTGAAAAGCCTAAAAGCAGCCTGCAATTGGAAGTTACAAAATGGTTATCTATTAGCAAAGTGTTTGCTTGTGAGCTGTGGCTCGTATGGGAACAGAAGTGGGAAATGCTCATATATTACAGCAGTCACTGCAGTGCAAGTACTGATTCATCCCTCTGTTTTTTACAGTATCTATCCTAGCAAATATCATCTGCTTCATATCTTTATATTTCTGATAGAATAAAACAACGAAAAAGAAAAAGAGACTAGATTTGGGGATATTTTGAAAGAAAACCCTAAAAACTTGCTACCTGTCTGAGTTTTGCATGGCTGCGGTCTTTCTTGTTTTAACTCAGCTACAAACTTCAGGAAAGGGAGAAAGACTGTTGTAAAATCTGTTGCACTCTAAGGCAACCCCAAACACAGTGGCTCTTATCGGAGCCTCTATGCTTTTGTGGACTGCCTGTTTTAAAATGCAGAAATAATAAATGCTCTGGCATAACCAAAAGGGAAGTGGAAGATGGGACTGCATTTATTACTTGAGCAGGCTTTGCTAGGCACAAGATAGGCTCTTGGTGTGAAATGACAGATAAGCTAGCTTAGATTTGTAGGAAGATGTACAACTGATTTGAATGAAGAAATGCAGGTAAGGGACTGAGAATATGGAAGCAGTGGTGTTTTTAATGGAGATCACCAAAATGAAGCTTGCAGGGAAAGCTTGAACAGAGCATGGATGTTGGGAGACTTGATGAGAAAGGTATTTCTTTTCTCATTCGAATAACAACAGCAACAAAAAAAGCTATGTATCCGAGTTCTTGAGACTTGTGCAAGTGAAAATCAAAACCACCATCCTTCCCATAAGTACCTGACAGGGTTTTTTTGCTATTGACTAGGGTAGAGTTTGTGAACATAACTCCAGAATTTTCAACGCCCCCTCTCCTCAGGTGCAAATGATAAAATTGACCTTGCAAACTGCATGCCCACTTACCTCTTCATTTCTTGGTTAGAAGTTGCACAGAAGTAGAAAATCCTACTTCCACTTTGAGGTATGCACTTAAAAACAAATGGTTTGCCCAGACTGGTGTCAACTCCAATTTCTGCTCCTTCCAACTTTGTTATTTCGAGGGGCTTGCATTTCCCTTCATCCTGTAATTAGAGAGAAAAAAGCTGTGCCAAAGTCTCGAAGACATGAAACTGATTCCTGTGAGATTGGGATAAACTAAGGAGAGTATTCAAAGGTGTAAAATCCGATGTTAAGATTTTATGCCTTTGAAACCATCCTCCCAATTACCATTTGCTTTAATGATTAATACTCTCAGAAAATAATTATGGTGGAGTCACAAAAGATAAAATAGTCAAATACCCTTTAAATTTGCATCTGCGTTTTTGCTCTTAATCATCCTTGCCTCATTAGAAGGTGTATTTGTGTGCAGAAACCTTGCTAGCTATTTGCAAATACCCCAACTTCTGCGAGTGCACTTCAGTAAGGGTGGGTACTGAAGTGTACTGAAAAACTTTAGGAGTAGGAGCCCCTTTGCAAGGCCAAGCTGGCTGCAGTCTGGATTTGTGCTGAAAGTCTCACCTTGTATGTGCAGATAGAGGGAACAAAGGCCTGCGTTCAGCAAATAGCAGGCAGAATTTAAAAGGCTGCGTTTCAGCTCCTTTGTCAAGTTGCCCTAAATATCAGTATATTCAGTATCTTTCCTCATTCATTTCAGGCAACGCTGAATGGAAATCATTTCCAAAGTGCTTTGTACAGTATTGTTGTGGATTGAGTTAAGGCTCTTTGAGACTACAGGGTATTGTCAATGCTTTTCTCTTTGGTTAGTTATAAGAAGACATTAAGCTCCTTAATATAAGTAGATAGGTGAAACAGCTATTCTGCCTGTTCCCTGCTGCACCCCAGACCCCCAAATACGTGTCTTGACTCAAAACAAAGGTGCGCGCGTCTCGGTAGTGAACTTGGCCTTTCTTTTAAGCAATACTCTAAACCCCTTTGCCCTGAAGAGGTGGGGGGTTGGAGCTCGAACAATTGCATCAATTTTGCCGGCATAAAGTAGTTGACGTGGGGGTGCTTGAAAAGCCTTAGTGCTGTGGCAAAATGCACAAAAATGGAGTTTCATGGAATACAATAAATAAATTATTTGAAGTTAGTTAGGTGCTATCAATAGGAGCAGATTACAAATGTCTCATTTTTTTTCTTTGCATAAAAAAGTACATAGCCTTCAATAAGTAAATGTTTACATATTGGATACCTGAAATTTTTTTTTGTATATTCATCGATGCATATAATTATCAGTTTGCTTGTGTATAAGTATTTACTGTGGGAACAAAAAATATTTCCTAATACTGAGAACTGGCTTGTACTAGGTGTCCATGAATGGATTCCTAGATCCTTCTGATTTCTGCTTCTTGAAGATGCAGGTCTTGAGTCAATATGGTAGCTCAAGACACTCCTAGAAGTCATCAGTACTGAGCGACCTGCATTCCTTCCAATACCTCCTGACACACAACCGCCCTGCAGCGGCAGCGTAGCTGAAACACAGACTGAGGCTCCAAGTCTCGTCCCAGCGTGGCGAAACCCACGTGCTGGGGTGAGGGGCTGGTCTGCAGCGGGGTTTGGTTCTCCGTGGCATGATCCACGCTGCAGCCTGCAGGCAACGGTTGCTGCAAGCGCTGAAATGGCTGTGGGAGCCCTGCGATTGCACATCCCTGTGAACGTCTCCTCTGAGCGCTCTGTGCTCCCTAGAGCGAAGGCAGGATGACTGCTCTGTGCCGTCAAGAATGATTTCTGTTCACTCCATGTCAAATGAATACATCTAGGGAAGGAGAAGATGGATCTGAGGCCTGTTTTGCAATGCGAAACCAAATGTTGTTTATTGATGGAGAGGCAGATGTGCTTTCCTAATTCTGCTAAGCCAGTGGTAGAGAGCATTTCTTTTCATCGAGGTGGTTGCTGCCTTGGGAGCAAACCTCTCTTTGTTCCAAAACGTGCCAAAGACATATAGCTGAAAAAGTCATTATATAAACTGTGGGGTATGCCTGGGTTTGGAGGGCAGCTTGCCGACACTACTGCCACTGTGGTATTTAATACAACTGTGTGTTGCTGTTCAAGCTGATGACATGTAAGGTGCAGATTTTGAGTGAGCTAGCTTAGATTTTAGCTACTGCTGTTCTGTTTTGCATGTAGAGTCAAGAAGATTTTTCTGTCCTGTAGAAGGGGAACGAAAGTGTGGGTCCAAGGTTCACGTTTCCTGCGTTGAACAGGTGAGAGTGATACAGAGTGATGTTTCTATGCGATGTTTCTGAGATCCTCAGTGACCCGCAGGATTTAACATGCGTGGAGGTCACTGGTAAGGAGCAGAAAGCCTCTTTTGCTTTGGCAAGTGCTATTGTGAGCATAATAATAGTAACAGCTTAAATAACTCTTTCTTCAAGTGGGTTTTAGGCGAAGTACTTTTTTGCGAGTTAAAAAGGCTCACCTCAAAGTGTATCTATGTCCAAAGGGCAGGCAGGACTGCAAGGGAGCAGTAAGCAAGGGGAAGCAGGAATCCCCTGCCTCTGGTGAGTGAAAAGGCCATTAAGATAGGGCATGTAACTGGGGGTTCATAAGCCAGCCCTGTTTAATTTGGTATAAATATTTCCAGAAAACAAATGAGAGTCATGGCATTTCCTGAATGATTCACTGTGATCAAAGGGTTCTGTTTGAGCAGAGTCATATTTGCTGTTCTAGTTAAGCTGCTTTGTCTATGAGAAAAGGGAAGCTGAAAAGATTCATGCATTTCATGCTATCTGCAGTGAAAGAAATCAAAATCAACTGCGGGAAAAACAATGAAAAGAGATTAAAAATAAGCTGTGCAAGAGACTGCAAGTACTAGGGAAAGGGGACAAAAATAGCTACAGATCCTAGAAAACATCAAAAGGAATGTGAAACGCAGAGGAAAAACTGATCCATGCTAGAAAACAGAAAATGATGGATTGGCTAGCTCCATCATTTGACTGGCATCAATGACTGGCAGAAGAAAGCCTAAGGCAGCTGTCTGTAGGTTGCTGGTGCAGATTGGTTTCAGGTCAGTAGGGACAAGAGAGAAAGTTCGGCTGTATTTGTAAAATGTGTCTCTTGCTGTGCCCTGGTTTCCTTAAACTAGACTAGAAGATGAACTCTCTCCTTTCTTTTTTCATGCCTTTTTTCCTGCTTGTTTTCCTTTTAGCCCGAGTTTCTCCATTGCAGCTGGCATGACTTTCCCCGGCATCCAAGCTTACAACATTTTGATCATCTGCAACTTTAGTTTTTTTATCTCCTTTCTTTGAATTCTTGTGCTGTGTTTTAGCAGTGCCACTAAAATGTGCTGTGTGGTGGGCTGGCTGCTTATGGACTGAGGCACTGAAAGCCAGAGCCTGTTTGCATTTCTTCTGAGCTGGACACATGCGTGTACAGGAGGGATCTAGAAGAGAGGTGTGTGCCAGCAAACAGAAAACTCCAGATTCCAGATCTTTGTAAGGTGTTCTGCTCAAATACAACTAAAGTTTCATTGTTTTTAATGTTGTTTTTTAAATCCTTGACAGACAAGTGTGAGAGTGGAAATGCACCAAAGAGCAAGGCAGCAGGGTGGGGGGATAGATGCAAACCCTCCTCTGACGTTAAGAACCTAGTTATCCTGTGCCTAGTTGTATTGACTGTCAGCTGCAGGATGATCAGATGGTCTTGGGATATGACCATTCTTCAAATTCGAGTTGAATTCTTTTGGTAAGTCTCTTTCACTGCAATTAATTGTACAAAAGTTAATCGGGTCAAGTGATGTATCTGTTTAGAGTCTTTCCTGGGTATGCAGTCTGTTGCTAGGCCAAAATTAACTTATGTATCACACCAGCCAGCAGTATTTATGATTTATTAATAAAGAGAATACAGAGGAAAATTAGAAACCTAGGAGTCAGCAGCTCCTTAAATGTAAATAGAAAAATATATCCTAGAGCCATGGGAGTCATGGAAGATGTACAGAAGAAATCAGATTGTATACCAGCTCTAAATAATGTGGCAGCTCCCAGACTGCGATGCTAAAGCTCCAAGCAAGAGTGAAGAACAAATAGAAGTGGTTTCTTTATGAGCAATGGCTCAGGCCTAAATCTATTTATAGCTAAGCCTTTTATATAAAGTGCTTAGGCTTAGTGATGAATACACAGGCCTGTACAGGAAAACAAAGGACTGAATGTTTGTCATAGATTTAAATGCCATGAAAGGTCCACACATGTAGTAGGCCGGGGATTTCTTTCTTGCTATAATAATTGGACTCTGTGTATGCCACAGAAATTAAGATAATTTAAAAACGCCTTTTCCTTTTCTCTGTTTTATTCTAATGGGAACACTTTTAAGAGTATGTGCAAGAAGTGTATACCATTGAGTCTAAGCTTCACATTTCTGCAAATACACACTTTGTCAAATGCCTTGCTCCTGCATATAGAGCAGGCAATTGTCGAAGGAGAATGGAACACTTAAATGTGCTTTGAAATGTCCCCTTTCAGTTTAGGGAGGGCTTTCCACTGCGCTGGGAGGGCCTCACTTGTTCTGGGAGTCCAGGGCCCCCTAGGATGTGCCCTGCCGTGAGCAAAGGCTATGTAGGAGACCAGTATCCAGCTGCTTATTGTTGCTGTTGACTGTTGCTTGAATAAAACCAAACAGTAACTAAGTTTATAGGTGCCCTGAATAGGGGAGAAAGCGTAAAGGGAACAATTTGCAAACATGAGCATCCACTAATAGAGACAGCTAAAGAATGGCCAAGTTTCGTTCACGGAGGCCCTGCTAACTACAGAATGTCCCCATCCTGTTGGTGGGAAAAAAAGCTGAGGGGCCCTTGGCACGGCAAATGATCCTGACTAATTATCTATCTGAGCGATATTTAGCTGGTGGTGTCACACTGTCGTGAACGGAGAAGACCAGATGATGCTGAGCTACTGAAATGGAACGGCATTGTAGTGGAAATGTGAATATGACCTAGCATCCGATTGCTGAGGATAGCTGCGTGTTGGACTGGGCTCCCGGAGAGCTTTGGGCTGTCCTGGAATGCGCCACCGTCCTTGCCCAGCCCTCAACACGGAGAGACTCTTACCTAGTCACTCGCGCTGTGCCCGAAAGCTTCCTAGAGGCACTGAACTTGTGAGCCTAAGAAATGCAATGCAAATGGAAATCCTTTTTTAAAACTGATGTGGCTGTATGTATCCACAAGGAAGGCATAAAAGCACATATCCCTCCCCTTCGCTGCTCCCACTATGTTCAGAGAGGTTTCTCAAGAGGACCCATTGCAGTTTTCTTATAGCATGCCTCAGACTATTGCAAACCTTTGCAAAAGGCCATTCCTCTGAGGCTTTGCAGCTGCAGGGGAATTTGTTTCTGTTGACTCACAGCTCAGTTTCTTGGAAGAATCTTTAACGTGAATCTCTAAAACATGTCACTTCCCATTCTTACTGTCAGGGCAGTGACTTCCAGCCTCACTAACTTAATTCCTGTCACAGTTCCTTCTTTTGGCTTTCCTGCTTTGAGTCCTTAAAAACACAGCCAGCGAAATCTAGTTATTTATTCTTAAATATATTTGCTCTGTGTCATTCTTAGCTGAGGGAAGCAGGAAAAAAAGAGGAATAAATGACCAAGGTAACATAAGGAACTGACAGAGCCCATTTGGCAAGAATATATCAGTGTCTAATTTCTGGGAAATATGTGTGCAGGGGAGATACGTTGATGGCGTGCTTCCCTGATTGGAGCCAGCAACCTTTATAGCTTCCCCCAGACCATAATCTGAATAACATTTCCTTCATATTTTTCTTTTCAGTTATGAAATTGGTTCTCTGTCTCACTTTTCTCTTTCCCAGACCTATTTATGGCAAAGGGACAGGAAATAAATCGTAAAGATAACAAGACAGCAAATAGAGAGGAGCTAGGATGTTTGTTACAAACACATGATCTTTTGTTAATTGTTTTTATTTTATCAATTCTTCTTCTTCAACCCAGAGAATTGCATGCTATATTTTCTTTAATTAAATTTATATAGCAAGACAGCAATGGTGAAATTAGGAAATTCTGGCTTTGACTGTTATTTTTAGTAGTCTTATAAATACTAGTATAACTCTTCTTTATGACTGTGCTCATATTCAACTTTAATTAGTTGAGCTTCCTACATTATAAAGAGCTGTAATGAGGAATTCTGAGCAGTGTATTTTTGGCTGTAAT